TCGATCTTGCTATATGGCCAATGAAAGTTGAGGATATTAAGAAGTTATCAACCTTTGACCACTCATGTCTAAGATACATTTTATGGATCCGTCAAGCGGATAAGATATCACATGATCACATCCACCTTCGTTCAAAGACCACTTGCAAAAATAATGTTCTCACAGAGCGTCACCTTCGCTGGTTAGGGCACGTCCACCACAGGAGTTGATGCATATTTCGTTACTTACTAAACCCTGTGATGATTGGTGTCAAAAGCGAGGTGGGCCAATCAAGACCGAAAAGATTTTGAACGTATAGGTGGTCCAGCAATATATGGACATTATATGGACGATGGAAAAGGAATGGCTTCTATTTGTGTCGACAATAGCATAAGACCGCGCCACTTGGAAACGTCTTACCCTTGTAGTCGTTGGAGCCAGCCTAAGCAATAATGGTGAGAGCTGTTAGAAGAAGAATAGCGACTGTAAATCAATATATTGCAACAACTACTTTCGTTACTGGGTTCCTCTTCTTCACTCAGTGGGTCGCACCAGCACTAGTTTAACTCTACTGGCGGCTAGAGTCAGACGTTTCCAAGCCTCTAGATCTGATGCTATTCCTGAAAATAATTGGAGTTACTCCTTTTCACACTAATCAAAGCACTCAAAATTTCCTTTGACCATATCGATCAATGTCATGATTGGCCCATCTATCACAAAGTTTAGCAAGTACAAAAATGTAATTCGTACGGTGGGCATCAAAAATCATGACCAAACCAGTTCAGACGACACTTTGTAACGATATTTATTGCAGATATTAATATATTCCAGCGAAGGTGGATATAATGATGTGAGAGTTTGTCCACTTGGTGGATATTTAGCATATATCTTAGGCAAGATGGTCAAAGAACAGAATAGTTTTCTGATATCTTGCATTCTCTTTGGCCAAAGTTCGCAGCTCCGTGGAATTGTGCAGGCAAATAGATAGTAGATATAGAATTTTTGTTCTATTGTTTTGTTCTTTATTCTGAGACGGATATCGTGATTCCAAAGATTTCGCCAGATGAGAAAAGACCTTTCACTGAAATTTCATCTTCCGTTTGGCCGCTAAATACAACAAATTTAAAACCTGACATTTCTTCGGCCACTGACGAACTTATATAAACTGCACTGCATCTGGGCCTATAAACAAAATTGCCTTAATGTCCGATAAAATACTTCCATAAATGTGAATCTTCTCTGGAACACCATCATATTGCATCGAGTTTTTGTTAAAAATGAAGTACGTAACTGTAACTCTCGATGCTTGAAAGGATGTTCCAATATCTTTCTTAGTGAAAAAATTCGGTTAGCAAAGCCGTCCTGGCTTACGGCTTGATTAGAGCACACCTTGTTGTTACGCCCTTCATGAGATTATTCATAAAAAAGGCAAAAATTCTCAGAAACATCTAACAAGCTGATTTCTGGATATTTGTCCTATTATCTTTCTTAAGAATTGGAGATTCGTTCCAGTCATGTTTACTCCTCCCACAGTGAATATAATTTTTGTAGATGTAGTGTGAAAGATATTGGGGAGCATTCGAAGAGCTTGCAGATCAATTATAGGAGCTTTATTGGTTTTAAGATTTATCCTGTGTTTGGTAGGTGATTCACAATTGAAATCTTAAACTATAAATGTATTCCAAATTTGTTCGAGATGTTGGATGATGTTGGATCTCTCGTGGCCAAATTTAGATTCAGAGAACTATGGCGTTGCCGATAGCTATCATTTATTCACAAGCGCACTCTGTCTATGCGAACGAAGAACTGCATTATCTGAAATTTACCCAATTTGTTTTTCCATTTTGCATATCATATTTAGTTGTCTCCTGGAAGCAGCAGTTCAACTGTGGACCTCCCCAATAATCCTCTGCAGTAATATTGATGTTGTTAAAATTAATGGAACATTGCGAAATGGATCAATATCTCAGATTAAAATGTGCTGAATATTATCCTCGAATCTTTTAACTTAAAGCAGTCGAAGGACTTTAGAAGATGCTTTTCATGTTGTTAGTTTCATTGCTATCTCGGCTTTAATTACAGCATAGCCTGTCCTGTAGGCATTGCTACTTGGTACCTTCGGTTCCGCGAGTATGTGGCTATTTATTTTTTCGAACGATGATATACCACAATATAGTTAATCTGATTGTCTGGTGGATTCCATGTAACTAGATGTCTTCCGCAATACTACAAAAAATATTGGCATAAAACCCAAACTCCTCAGCAAAGCGGAGAAGACATTATCCATTGGCACACCGATCCGTCGAGTGGATAAAATCGCATATATGATTGTATCCACCTTCGCTCAAAAACCACCTGTATTAATGTTATCACAGGTCGTCGCAAAAGCGAGGGCCATTCAAGACCCTGGTCTGAAATAGTCAGAAAAGATTTTGAACGTATAGGGAACCAGCGATATTTGGACTTAAACGATGGAAAAAGAAATGGCTTCTATTATTACGATTACGTCGGACCGAGCAGCTTGGAAATCCTTGCATTCAATGAAGCTAGCCAGTAATGGTGACAGCTCTTAGAAGCTTGGCACACCAGATTGCTACACCAAATTTGGAGACCACAGAACTGCAGAATATAGCAGGATGGCTCATGTCCTATGTGCGCATTCTAATCTCCCATGACTGCGATTTTTTGAGACAGATGCTTCTCAAATTAAGCTCACAGAATCTAGCTCTATCCAGGCCATTCTTGTGCAGGAATGCAAATCTTGATGGCCGAAATACTGCGGAATTTACCTTCAAATTGGGCGTAGGCTATTAGGATTCCATATGATTAGGGCCAGTTGTACTCTTTTGGACAACTGCCAGTAGTTCTTGCCTGGATGTATTTACTACCTTAGACCCAAAATAATTAGAGAGATGGACTTCAGCAAGCAAGCGATATCTACAGGATATTTGGATATTGACGAACTCCTTACATCCATAAGCGTCACTCCTCCAATCTTATTTAAGTGGCTTGATGCATTTCTTCAGTTCAAGAATTTATAAATTTCAAAGCTGGCTTCTATTTATTGCATGGGTTAGAGATATCCGTAAATCTGTTAGAGATGCCCGGTGGAATGTCTGGTGGAATGCTGCCTGTGATTTTGACTCATTTGCCCTAAAGTCACTTGAGGATTGATGATTTTCAGCAGCCACCACCCAGACCCTTCTCTAATACGAGAGCTACTCGTATCCCTACAAACAAAGAAAATTTGGTTATTGTGATTACTTTAAATCTGTAAAAGAATAAAATGAAAACTTACACTTTTGTAGAAATTTGTAGAGAAAAAATTTGTGATAATTAAGGAATTATAGACAAAAAAATTTTTTTCATTTCTTTCTAGAAATTAATCAAATTATTATCAATATTAGAAACAGAAAATGGAGGAGCAGCTGCGCAACATTTATATTTGATTTTAATGGCTCCAAACTTGGGATAAAATAACTCACTGGGTTCTTGCTCAATTGAGAGCACTGGTGCTGCTGTTCGGTCCCTACATGGGAGTATGTACAAAAACCCGGGCGACGTTGGCATCTCACTCTATTTCTATCGCCAAAAGACTCCCTGGTATGTTGCGTAATGCGATAGGCTAGTGGAGTGGGTTCAACCAGTACTGGTGAGGACTCATAAAAGAAACTCTTAAAAGAAAGAAAACTTGCGCAAATAAATCAAACCAGAATTTGAACCGTAAAATCATTTTTAAGTTCCCACTAAATGGAAAGTTGGACCGATTCGAACGTTCGTTCTTGATCCATGGTCCTCTAGCAATCATCCAATTCCGTTAAATGTGTATGTATTTCTGGTAACATATTTTATCACAAAATATAACAATTCTGATACTGTAAAATAAAACAACTAAGAAACAACACTGAAAAGCGCATACTAAATGCTCAGAACTAAAGAGCATAAAAGGAAATTGACCACTCTCGATTGCAGTACCTTCCACGCCGCCTACCCCGACTCCTTATCTATAAGTTTAAAACATATCTCAATTTACATAAGGTGTAAAATTAAGTAAGACCTTATGCTTAACTGCAACCTCGTTCTTTGATATTTTATTTCGTTAAAGTAATTCGAATTATAATAAGTACTAATATAATAAGATTAAGAAATACTAGCAGATATAAAGGACTTAAGTTATATAAACCTATTTGCAAGCTCTGCCCTATAATTTCTAAGTCAGAAGCACAAACTATTAGAAAAACTTAAGAACTTAAATGAATAAGATTTTACCCACTCTGGTTTATCTAGTTTCAAAATGAAGCCTAATAACTATATTTGCAGCACCGTCTAAAATCAATCAAAAGATCAATTTGTCTTTTGATAATGTAAATATCACAATTATTCTCCATTTTAACTGGTTCCTTCATTGATGTTGATGTCCATCTGTTACTGATAACAATACAAGATGACGATGCCCTGACTGGTTTTTTTTTAATTCTATGTTTTTTATCTACTCATATTTAGTGTTAGTGCAAGCACATTATCCAGTAATCCCAATTTGATAGAAACAGAAAAAACATAGAAGTATAGCTTCATTTGCTTTTATTTCAATGTTTGTACTAATATAGGATTTATTATAAGACATTGCTCTCTATATGAACAAAATCTATTATTAAACAGGAAAAGTGGAACAGGATTTTATTAACTAAAAAAATTTAAAAAAAATTGTCTCATTACCATAAAACAAGATAAAAGAAATTCCACTGCAAATAACAAATATAACCCTTAAAGAAAAAGAAAAAAACGAAAGTAGGAAAACATAGCATACTCATACTTACTAAAGTACCAATGTGGAGCTAGGCTTTATATTCCTTTATCAATATTTTGCACTGGATAATCGCCTTCATCTTATATATTTTCTATCACATTCTTTCTTCAACTATGTTTCCTCGATTATATCGGTATGATTCATAATTATAATTGCATGATTTTTATTAATAAAATTTGATGAGCTATATTTCATATTGAAGCAATTTTTTATTTTATTTTGGACTATGCTCAGTTAACCGATCATAGAGTCCTTGACTTGAGAATAACTGTACATTATTGGAATTTGTTGAATGCAAACTTGTTTCAGTTTGGTCAGAATCATCGTTAATCTCAAAAGAAATATCATTCTGGAAACATATGTTAAAATCATCTAAAACTGCTTGATTTATTCCATCATCGAAATCAAATGTACGGTGTAGCAAAATGCTTTTTGCAAAACTGCCATAAATCAATGGAATATGCTGCAATCTTGCTTCTGACCAAACCTAAAAAAAAGATTCACAAAATCAAATTAAATCAACAGACTTTCAAATTTTTAACAGAAACCGCGTAAACAAATGAAGGGTAACCCTTACAACAGATAAGAGAGATCCATAATCAAATTTGGGATAGAACAAAACAATAGTTGCATTACCGAAATCGGCTCCATTTATTAATCCACAAGGAGTTAAAAGTAATGTTGGACGCCATCTCACAATAAAAATGGCTATTACAGACATATTATCTGAAATTACTTTGCGGATTTTCAGAATACAATCATACTTTTCATCGATAGTATCAATACTGTTTATGGCTAAAAAAATTAAATTAACAAAATATTATACGAAATAATTTTAATACCTTTGAAGGTGACAACAAGACGACATCCATCTGGAGACAATATCATGTCACGAGCCGTACCACCGATAGATGGCGAACCTTCAGAAGCTACTTCCGATAAGTCAAATAAAGGTATTACATTTGAAGAACCGTAACTAAATTTGAAAACAATTAATGTTTTTGCACCAGTACCTGAGGACAAAACACGGAAAACTTTTAACTGCGATTATATTTTTTGATTTTTTTGATTTTTTCTTTTTATAACAAATTATCAATATTTAGCAAAAAATTAAATTAAAGCATATTTTAAGTCCAAAGAACGAGTAAACTGAATATAACGTATCATCGCCTCATTGCAAGCCGTTAGTAAAAGAAAAGAATTATCAGGTGACCATACGGCGGCAGAACATCCGCCCGCAAAATTCGCCCATTCCTCATATTCCCATGAATTACAATTATATATCCTTCAAAAAAAACAATAAACAAATAAATTAGAATCGAAAAAGTTGTATGAAAGATTTTAAAAAACCGAATTAAATTTAAAATGAATGGAAAATGAATGACCTAACAAAACTACAGCGAAAAGCAACCAAAAGTTTCGAACCGTCAGGCGATGGCCACATTCTGGAAACTTTTGAACGGGCCCAAATGCTTAATGAATCAATTTCTGCTGAAAGTGAGTCGATTACCTGAAAAAATCTTAGATTTAGAAGGATTTTATATCCCATAATTTGAATGCTTCTTAAAAATATCTCTTCTGCAGATCCATGAAAAAAATTAATCTGCCATTTGTCAATTAAAAATTCAGACCGCAATGTGTGAAGAGGATGGCGAAGATGCGAACAAAACTGAAGAATATGAACTTTCCCAAAAGCACTGAGTAGCAGGGCAAAGATATAAAGGCAACTGAAATAATTTTGCGAAGCCATCCAATGACCTTAAGTAAAGGGAATAACCAATGATGTTTAACAACTAAAGATTTCACACAAGAAAATATATTTAAATACATATAAAAGTAAGTTTATTAAGAAATCACGATTCTGTTCATGTTCATATTCAGAAGAAAGACCGTGTGCCAAAAATGAGCAGAATACAATTCAGCAGGATATATCAGACAAACAATTTCAATCGATAAATCGACTGAATGACCAACTCAGACAAAGCCTGTGGCTTTTTGTTTCCGATTTTCTCTACTTTTCTCTGCTTTTTGGGCACAAATTTATTTATTGTGATTTCGTTCAAATATAATTTTTGGGTTGGAGGAATTTATTCTTTTTTGGGTCCATTTATGCAATTGATAAGGTAATGCATTGTTATATGACTTTATTGTTGTTTTAAATAAAGGTTTGATTGCCCAAGTTTGAGGTACACAACGATAAGTTATGACACTTTTAACGATCAACAATTATATGAATCATGAAACACAATCTTAAAGCTGTTATAGACTGATCGCCAAAAATATTCGCTATATAAGATTATTTCTTTCTCTTCAAAAAACTGGAAAATGAACAAACGAAAGGTGATTTTTCAAAACAGAAAAAATAACCAATTCGCATGGTTCTTTAAATAGATTCTCCAAACAATTACTACCCTCTGACAAGCCACAGCTAAGATCATCGCATCGTTTGGCCTTAAAAACTTTTGATATCTTTCGTTCAGTACTTTCAGTCATTATATTTTCACCATAAATCCTAAAGATAAATAAAAAGATAATGGTCTAAATCATGGAAAAATGAAGAAAAATGAAGAGAAAATTTAAACCAACTTCCACTGCATAGAAGAAACGTTCCGTTGGAAGGAATGTTTAAGAACTACTGGGGACTTCAGATGCCTTTTAGAAGAAAAAATGAGGATTATATCATTCGGTTGACAAACAGCTACATAATATCCGCTTTCATGAACAGCCAGGCAGCGAATCCAGTTTGAAAACCTTAAACAATGTCTCAAATCGGATGACGGAAAAACTAAGAATAAATAATAATAAATAAAGTAAGAAGAAACTAAGAAAGAATAAAAAATTAAATTTAAGATGGTGCACAGAATAATCAAATAAGAATAACAGTTGAAATATTCAAAACTTTCAGAATCATTTTTAAAGAAACCGTTAAATGCCTACCAGTCCCTACCCATTATCGAAGAATCTGCAATGATACTGCGAAGATCTTCTTCAGAAACTGCGAAATTTTCCAGAATATTCGCACCCAAATTTCTAAGAAATCGACCAATCTTCGCTATAGGCCACCAGTAATGAGTCCCATCAGTGATATTAATAAGATATTCCATAATACCGCTCGCCCCATTTTTACACCTAAATCTTTAAATAATCAGAGGCAATACAAGAAAGAAAAGTTGTCGACGACAAAATTATAAAAAATTTCAATGAAATTTTAAATATTTCATTATAAAAAATAATCCAGAAATTTTTAAATGAACGATTCAACAGTTGTACCAAACGTTGTAAAGATATTGAAATTTATTTGACTGATTGCCCATGAATAACTGATTGATTTTTTCCTGGACAAATAGATTTGTAATATTGTGTAAATTCACTTTTTTAATGACTGGAACAAAATTAAGCTGAAAAATTCGAGATCATTCATTTAAATTTTTAATAATGAAGAATTTACAGATCTGAAAAGACCTGAAATTTTCTCACCATGATTTAATATGAGCAAACATATATTAAAATGATGTAACATACATACTCTTCCTTATAATAAAAAGAAGATCGTCAAACTCACAAAAGCAGTTAGAAACCAACAAATTAGCCACGTTAAATAAATTAGCAGATTCGACAGATCTCAGAGGTGCGTGGCTTATATTTCTGATGGGCCGTAGAGGATCACACATTAGAATAAAAATTTTTCATTTTAAAAAAATTCTACTGAGGAGCCATATAAAAGTTCCAAATAAAAATCCTATAACATTAATCACTTGGAGTTGGAGAGCAAAGAAGAAAAAAGGAGAATGGATTTTATTATGCATAAAAATCGACTGATAATACCCTCAAAATAGAACAGCAATCTCGTTTGTAATGTCGAGAATATTTAAAAGAATTTTATAAATGAGTAAATATTTGATAAGGTGATCATATGTTAAATGCCAAAAACAAAGTTTTGATAGGAAAGGAAATAATAATTTTAAGAATGAAGAATGTTTTCGTTAAGAAATTTAAGAACTACTTTTGGGTCAAGGCTGAAGTTTTTTTTTCTTTTTGCCGATAGAGCCCGCTCAACTGGCTTGTTGAACAAGATAAAATTTAGTGCTAGGAAAAAATTACAAATCAGCAACTAACATAATCCTATTAACGAATTGGACATTCCACTGAGTCGTTCTATCCACGTTCCATTTTTTATTACCGCCATTAAACGACAACGATGAAACATGGTGCATGAGGCGAATTCGAACCTCAGCCATTCCCACTAGTAATTATCTTTGTCACTTCTTCTTCCAACAGCTTTCACCATTACTGGCTAGGATGGCTACAAGGGTAAGATGCTTCCAAGCTGCGCGGTCTGATGTCATCGTCGACAGTAATAGAAGCCATTTCTTTTTCCATCGTCTATCCATATATTGCTAGTCCACCTATACGTTCAAAATCTTTCCTGACCGTATCAGTCCATGTCCATCACAGGATTTAATAAGTAACGAAATATGCGTCAACTCCTGTGGTGCACGATGGAGAACATGCTGGGGAAGGCGACGCTCCGTGATAACATTAATAATGGAAATGGAATTTGAACGCAGGTTGATGTGATCATATGATATCATATCTGCTCGACGGATTCATAAAATGCATCTTAGACATGAGTGGTCAAAGGCTTCTTAATATTTTCCACTCTCATTGGCCAAGCCATATAACAAGTTCGATGGAATCACAGCTATATAGATGCAGACTCGTTTTCATGGTAATTTCATTCGTAATTTCACGAAAGCTCCATAAAAGTTTCATCAACCGGAAGAACACATTTCTACGTGCTATGATCCGAGTTTATTATCGTCTTTTTCCTGGTAATTTGTTAATAGAGTGGACCCAAGGTATTTAAAATCGAGCACTTCCTCAACCAATTAACAAAAAGAGGCATTTTATCAACTTCTTGCACATAAGACGAAAAGACTTCCTTTTTCTTTACATTGATTCTGAGTCCGATTCTCGCTGCAGTTGCTGACACGTTATTTAGCATTATTTGCATTTCGCCATAACTGTCAGCAGAAAGGACTACATCAACAACGCATTCAAGATCTGCGATACGATCCTCTGGACTGATTTGGACATCTCTTGAGTGCCGACAAGCGTTGTCCATTATCCAGTCCATTGCATAGTTGAATACTGTTACGTAGCCCTAAAGGGTACCATATTTCAAAGGAATGTGTCAGTTCCCCATATACACAGACCCGTGCTAACGTAAGTTCACAAAATGCCTTTCCCTTCCCTTCATGAGTCGAATGACCTTCACTGGAACACTGTTCCATCACCCTCCAAAGCGCCGCTCTATCAAAGGCAGCCGCAAACCGATGAAACACGTGACAGTAGGCTGCAAATATATCTGAATCGATATTCCAACACCCTTCTTAGTGTAAATATCTGGTCAGCGCCCTGGTCTGAAATCAGCTTGAATAAGGCGCATCCTGCTGTCCCATACTTCCATAAATCTGCTAAGAAACAAAAATTTTCGCTGAGACGTCTAGCAGGTTGATTCCTCAATAATTGTTGCAGTATGTCCTATCACCTGGGAGCAGAAGTAATTGCTTTACTCCAATCATCTGGTAATATTTTTCTTCATATTAGAGAATACATCTGTTGAAAATGCGTTATGAAGGACGATGGACAACATTTGAAAAGCTCAGCCCTCAGTCCATCTTCTTCACGGAATCTTATTGGCCTTAGGCTTATGGATAAGGGAAATTATTTTTTCTTCTGTTAGAGGCTCGTAATTGCAAGCGTATGATTCGGCAAACGTAACAGAGGCAACAGATGGCTCTTCATGGGCCTCAAAGAATTTTTTCCATCTTATGAGGGAATTCTTAATATTCTTGATCGGCACGCCACTGCTGTCCCTTACCATTTCACTGATCGTTCCCCAGGTCATAGTTGCTTTATGAAGAAAGCGGAATAGTTTCCTATTATCGCCTAATCGAGCCACCATCTCCATTTTTGAGTTTATATCACTCCAATAGTGATTTCTGTTCCGCCTTGCTATTTTCGTTACAAATCTTCGAGGCATCCGATAGTCAGGATCGCCTGACATTCGTGCTTTGGAAGCTTTTTCAGACAATTGGACAATTGCTTCTGATACCCAACTAGCACACTTCCTAATAGTATGTCCTAGTATGCAAGTGGTTGATTTTCGGAGACATTCCTTTAGTTTGGACCAGTATTTATTCGCCATTCCAGAAAAATCATTGATCTCTGTATCATTGAGATGTTTTAATAATTCGATTTGAAATGCGCTCGCTGCCCTTGAATTTTTTAGCTTGACATCTTGGGGATGCTGTTTTCTGCGAGTTATCAATTTTATGCGGATCTTGGCTCAAGCCATAACATGGTCAGATCCATGAAATTGCCCGTTTCAGTGCCGCGATAGGAACGACTAACTAGTATGGAACTCTTCCAAAGGCGACTAAGATTATTAAGGTTATAAAGGTTAATTATGTAATTAATCTGGTTGAAGGGTTGGTTGTCCGGAAAGTTTCACGTGACTAGATATTTTCTACGATGCCTGAAGCAAGTATTATTTAAAATATTAGTAACAAAAAGTTCATAGTCTTTGAAGGCGTTCCCCATTCGCGCACCGGTCTCCGATGTCATATTTGCCAATTGTTGAGGTCATCGTGGCGGCATTATGATCCTATGCAAGCATTCCAGTCTTCTCCGATTATGACCATGTTTCGGTAGAGACTTTTAATGGTTGAAGTTCCACATAGAATTTATCTTTATGCCGGTCATCTGCCGACAGAGTTGGAGCACACACTGATGACCGAGATACTGCAGACTTACCCTTAAAACGAGCACAAGCCATACGGTCGTTTACCGGTTTCCACTCAATCAAAGCGGAATGGGCCTTGCCAGATATGACAATCGCTACGCTATTTCATCCCGAGTTATTCGAAGCATTACAGTGATATAGCCAGTATCTCTGATCTGAACCAGGATTAATAATTGCTCGAGACCCAAAGTGAGGACCTCCGACAAGCAAGTGATATCCACACGATATTTAGAAAAAGTGTAGAAATGATCGCTTGACTCGCAACGGCATGAGCATTCCGACGTTCCACGCTGATACGGCTAATACTTCGCCGCGAGTGCAGAGGTCTGTTCCCCTTGACAGGTTTCGAGCAATTACACTGGCTTCGAACATATAATATTTACCAGCCTTGGGATTGCTTTAAGATTGTATACTTATTGCATATATCACCGGACTGGGAGTATCATTCGCGTCGGAAGAGGCGGACACCGTATAAGAATATCTAACCCCCTTTCACCACGGAGTCACTTGGGAAATAGAATTACAGATGAGTCTCCAGCAACCATCAAGATTGACATGACAGGTTTACTCTTGTTAAAGACAGACACTGTTATTTTATATTATTTTATAATTTTATTATAAATTTTATACATATATTTATTTCAATTCTTTGTTTTTTTTAAATTTAAGAAAAAGAGAAAAAGAAGAAAAACAAAGAAAACAAGAAAAAGATATAGCTCATAGTTCAAAGTTTATAGAAAATTCTAGAAAATATTCTGAAAAAATAACTGCAGCGGAATAAAAACACAACTGCTCAATATCAAAGCACATATCTTTGCCACTGAGCCATCGATACACCACAGCTGTACTGTTTAGCATATTACAAAAAAAGCCAATCATATTCTACAATTTTTCGAAGGCAAAAAAAAAGCCAAAATAATTTTCCATCAATTATTGAATCTGAATGCAATGCAACCTGTTATTCTACTAGATATCGCAAATCAAGTAAATTAATTGAAGGATGTTCCAGAAATACTTTGTAAATTGTCTCCCAATCTGAATTATAAAATAAAACCTCAACTATAAACTTAGACTACCCTCCAATTCGCTGGATTAAACAAGATTTAATTTAAACATAATTAAAATTAAAATTAGATTGTTCTAAATATAATTTTGGGTCTGAACCTAATAAGATCACGAACTGAAATTACCAAAAATAAAATACTTTTATGTAAATTGAATTACGAACTGATGACCCTTTCCTTTTCATTCGGCCATTAATTACAGGAACAGGCTGCGAATGACTTATTGCTCGCCATTTTTCAAGAAAAGATTACATCAAATAACCAATTACAACCAATGGTGATTCGCTGGTTCACTGGTAAGATGACAATAAAAATCGAGGTTTGCGTTCGAATCCATGAGTCTTCGTAAGTAAAGCAGTATGGCTTAGTATATTGTTGCTCAATTCGAAACGCTATGCTGAAGTTCTATTTCCGACAGGGATAAATCTGTGCAAAAACCCGAGTAATGCAAGTGACTTAATGTACTGTACTTCTGTACTCGTCGAAGGGACCCCCCGGAATATTTGTTTATGCGACAAGCCAGCGAGTCTAATTACCAATAGTGAACGTTCTTTAAAAAAAGCAGCGATAATCTAAAAGCTCCACATTAAACAATTTTTTCAAAAATTTGAAATTCAAAATACTGATCTTTCAAAATGCAATTATGTGTCAATGATATAATCAAATGATATATGATATTCGTGTTTTTGTTATTCTTTCTCTTTTCTTTTAATTGTAATCATTTCTTTTTATGTTATTAGCCTCTAGCATAATTTTTTTGTATTTTATATCGATGAAAATTACTCATTTTCATTTCGCA